GCATTAATCTGCTATGATAGTATATTATGATTATAGTAGTGATATGAAATTGTGTTACAAACAATATACCACTGAAATGACAAGAACATTGAGAACAAAAACCAACGTAAAGTATTCCAACATAACCAATAAAATAGTACATTAATAATCTCATAATTTCAATCTAGGGTATTGATAAAATACTTAAAACACATCATAACACAATCAAACCAATATGTCGAGTTAAAAAACTCTAGTACATTAATAATCTCATAATAGTATAATAAAATGATAATGGTAGTATCATACGGTATTCATAATAGTATACTACTGTATTACAACGGTTTAACACTTAACCGAAGTTACCGAGCCATTACATCGTAAACACGACATTAATTAAACATATCAAATCTTAGGGTGGTTTGGAAAATAACAACCATCGGAATCATTTGAATTCATTGAGTTTATGTCCTCGTCGCTATCATCAGGAATGCAGTCGACTTCTTCTTCGAACAACTGCACAAAGCATGCATTCAATGCCTCACTTCCAGTGGCATCAACGGCTCCAACTAGTTCACCCCCACCCCCTGTTCCATCATCATCAGAAATAACAACTTCAGCATCATATGAACCTAAAATCATGAAACGAACTTAAAAATGTTGAATACTAAAAATGATTAAATAGACTGCAAATACATTTGAATGACAATAAATTAACATCATCAAAAATAAACTTGAAAATGCATAACCCATACAATCAGTTAAAAAAAACTGCGAAAATGTATTTCAATGTACTACCGAGCACACTAAAATCAACTGTTATAAACAAATAAACCAACTATCACTCGATTATTGCGTAAACCAACTACGACACTCATATAAAACAACTCTGGTCCGACTGCGTGAACCATCATCTGCCAACTCTGTGAATCCTCTTCCAAACAAACATCATCAGCCAAAATAAGGATGTATATGTGACGACGTAATTTTTTAAGAAACGATCTACTTTACTACCAATATAATCAACGTATCAACACAAATCTTAAAATGTCTACCCACCATAACACAACAACCCCGCACAAAAATACAGCGAAAATAAAAACGAAAAAAAAAGTTCATACCCGCTTAACGACGGACAACGATGAACGCTCAGATCCGAACCTACCTCCACGCCGGTGAAAACTTCTTCAAAGCCGATGGAAACGATGAATCGATGGAGAAATTCTTCAAAACCGATTGTACACGTTGTGATAATAAATACAGCGAAATAAAAAAAAACGAAAAAAAACACATTCATACCCGCTTAACGACGGACAACGATGAACGCTCAAATCCGAACCTATTCCCACGCCGGTGAAAAAATCTTCATATCCGATGGAAAACGATGAAACGCTGGAGAAATTCTTCAAAACCGATTATACAAGATTTGATAGAAACCGCCAATATACTCACGTAATTTTATTCCGTGATTTTAGGCAACGTATCAGCAATCTCATATCACGTAGTTAAGGAAATAAATGCCGTTCAAAAATAAAACAGGGATATTAAAGAGAAATTACATAATATATTTTGCCAAGTTGGCAAATTTGGGTGTATCTCAAAAAGGGAAAAATTAATTGGATCTACCTCATTAGAAAATATAAACAAGGGGTTATCCCTAATAAACCCTATAAAATTAATTTAAAAAAATAGATTTATTAATTAATCACTCTTAAAACCTTTTATCAAACATAATAACTTATCATTTTTTTTTTTCTGAAGTTCTCTATACATGAAGAAACAATAAAATAAAGAAGAAACTTAATTCACACCCACGAAAAAAGCTCTGCTGTCGGTAAATACTCTCTCTCTCTCTCTCTCTCTCTCTCTCTCTCTCCTCTCTCTTCTCTCTCACACACACAAAAACACACCCCACACTCGATCAATTCAAAACCCCAATATTTTTAAAGTAGTGAGAAAGCACCAAACTGTTAAGCCATTGATTTCTTTGCGTTTGAAATGCGGAGTGACTAAAAATGGCCGAAACATCAACCTCTGATAAACCCCCAATTCAAAAACTAGGGCTTGGTCTTTTGATCCCCGACGCGGCGCCGTTTGATCCAACCACCACCGCCGCCGATGATCAGCCGAATGCCTCCGATTCTGTGAGTGATCCACCACCGCAGGCTGCGGCGAAGGCGGTGAATGTGATGGATGAGGAAATTTCAACCACCTCTGAGGAAGCGGAATTAGAATTAGGGATTTCCCTTGAGAAAGAGCTTTTTCAGCTTGCCATTTTTCAGGCTGAAATGGAGGCCGCCTCCATGAGATTAGAGGCCATTGACGCTGAGGAGGAGGAAGAGAACGGTTTTCGAACAGTGGAAACTGAAAATTTTGATGAAGGGGAGAATGGGAAAGATTCAGAGAGGGTTGAAGAAGCGAACGAGGGTTACGATGAGGGGAATGCGATGAAAATGGCGGAAATTGATTATCTTGTTGAAGAAAATAACGAAAACGATGCAGAGATTTTTGAAGAAGAAAATGAGAATGGGGGTAGTGAGAATGATAGGGAGGAGGTAGGGTTTGGAGAAGGGGTAGAAAAGTTAGCTAGGCCTAATCATAGTCTTAACCGAAGGAAGATTAACTATCCAACTCGGCCCGATGCGGAGGATTGTGCATTCTATATGAAGTTCGGGTCTTGTAAATTCGGAACAAATTGCAAGTTCAATCACCCGCCTCGGAGAAAATATCAAGTTAGTGTACTGATTAGATTTGTGCATGTTATATGTGTTTTGCTTAGATTTATGGAAATTATAGTTTTGAAGCTGGTTGTCTGATTTCTTCGAATGTTTCGTCCGATGCATGCATGTGTATAATTTGCAGTGATTTGACCGATCTAAAGTAGCTATCATTTTTATAGGGCATTGCTTGAATTTTTTAGTGGTATTGTTTAAGGTTTCGTTTTTTATGGCATTGCTTATAATTTACCGAGTATTATTTGATCAGTGAAATTGTATGGTTTTGTAAAAAATGTTTGCTTTAATAAATGAATTTTGAAGAGAATAAGCGAACCGTCTGATTGCTTGGATAGCACTGTCCATTTTTTTATGTGGGATTTAGCATATATTCAGTCTGTGGATTATTTGATTTAAATCAGAAGGCATAAATAATCTAGTGCATGAATTTGTATTTATGTGTACGTTTTGTTGTTGATTGCATGGTAATCACAAATCATTTGATTGATCAGATGAGTTTCTCAAGATGTCATATCATGTATAATAAAAACATTTTCGGGTATGTAAAAGAAATTTCACATCACTAAAATCTCTTTAGTATCTATTAAAATTTTCTTCCCCAGTTTTGTTGCTATATGGTCGGTTATTAGGGCCATTGAAAACTGGCTCAAGATCTCGTAACCTGTTGCACTTTAATGGTTTTGTTCTAGAGCTTGAGAGGGCTGAAGTTTGCTACTTCACTTTTGACTTTCGTCGCTCTGCTAGAGGAAAAAAAATGTGGAGTACATTTTTTTTATTCCGAATGTTTTATGCATTGTGCAGTTCTTTTTATTTCAGGGTGTTTCTCTTCCCCAAAGCAAGGTTAATAGTACATTTGTTAATACGTTTTATCAAAGATTTTAGTCGTATTCTTGTCATATTTGTGTCAAATTCACATTTTAAAAGTAGCATTTGGTTATGAAAAAGGGGTTTTTTTTATTGTTTAGCTGTCAGCACTTCATACCTCAACGTTCAGCGAACTGTTTTGAATCCTTTGAAGTACTACAAGTTCATTACCTGTACCAGGCTATTTGCTTTCCTCTGATTATGGAATTTACTCTCAGGGTGTTAAAGAGAGAGCTAATCACAGGGAAGAAAACTCCGAAAAGGCAGGGCAGACTGAATGCAAGGTGATTATTAATGTGTTTAATTTTTATTTTTTCGGACTCATTAACTTAACTGATGTATGATTGAATGTTATCTTAATTCCTAGGAATTAATGATTCAATATATCGATACCATATTGTGGAACGTTTGCTGCATATTTCCTCCGTACATCTTTCCTCCATATGATTTGAAGATACATGTCTTAATTTTGAGTTTTTTCCGTCTTTTATTTTCAATTAATCTGATGCAGCAATTTAATTCGTCTTTTTGCAGTATCACTTTACATCGGTGGGTTGCAGATATGGGAAGGATTGTAAATACTCTCACGGTCCAATGAAAAGCTCCACATTCCACAACCCAGCATTTAACTTTCTAGGACTGCCGATTCGACCCGTATAATATTTCTTTATAATTTCAATTCTACAAAAGATGTTCTGCTTTCAAATAAAAGATGTCCTAAAATACTAAAGATTTTATTATTCATTACAGGGAGAAAAAGAGTGTCCGTACTACTTACGCACTGGGTCATGCAAGTATGGGTCGAACTGCAGGTTTCATCATCCCGAACCTAAAACAGTGCCTGTAGGTGGCGGGTCCCCTTCTGGATATGACAATGGCTCTTCATGGTCTTCGCCGAGGGCATTAACTAACACTTCTCCATTTGTACCTGTAATGTTTCCTTTGAATCAAGGCACTTCTACTCCTAATCAAGAATGGAACAACGGGTATCAGGTAATTTCTACTCTTTGGAGTGTTTTCACATTAACTTATTCGGTTATTCCTGTGTAAGAGATTCAAAGATGGGTCAAGAATTAGTTTCTTTTAGTTCTCGTAGGGTTCGAAACATATACTCTGTGTTTGTGTGTGTTTCGTAATTTAGTATTTTTGTCCTTTTCATTTGGGCTTCACGCTTGGTGATAATAGAGCTCTCGTTGAACGCCCATAGTTAAATTACTTAAAACACCCTGTGGAAGTATTTTATTTAAAATGGCTTGCCCATAAGAATCCACGTCATAGTCAGTCAACAGTTTTACCCAAACCAGTAACATATGAAGTTGCCCCTATACGTACCCATAAAATAATTATTACGAGGAGGGATCTTTGTAATTTACACACCTAATCTTCTAGTTCTTTATTTGTTTAGTTTCGTTAAGGCAGTTTTTTTACTTTTTACCTCAAAATCCATGTGACTTATTACATAAATGCCCTTTCTGCTGTGTCTTATCCGTCATTTTATTTTTATTACAATAATTTAGGGTACGACCTACCCGACATCTGAGAGGAGCCTACCTACACCTCCAGCTTTTGCCATTAACAATCTACCAACTGAGATTAACTTCCCAATGCCACAACAACATGGTATGGCAGTCGAAGAATATCCAGAACGTCCCGGTGAACCCGAGTGCAGTTTCTTCATAAAAACCGGTGACTGCAAATTCAAGTTCAACTGCAAATTTAACCATCCCAAGAATCGCAACCCCAGACCCAACTCTTTTTCACTCAATGACCAAGGCCTGCCCCTTCGACCTGTAAGTTCTTTTCATTTCAGCACACTCTTGTTTATCTGTTTCTTTTCCAGTGACTAGTTCTAATCTATTTTTTTTTTACATGTACTTGTAATTTCTTTTTCTAAATTCAAATTTTCTTATGAGTTTTGGTGGTGTTAATCTTGTTGTTGGTTTAATATATTGCAGGATCAGCCCATATGTACACACTATCATCGGTACGGAATTTGCAAGTATGGACCTGCTTGCAAATATGACCATTCCATGGGACCATCTCCGCCTCCTTTTGTTCAGCCACCAGCATTCGATCGGGGTCAAATATTGGGAGCATTCGATCGGGGTCGAATATCGGGGCTCAGGAAATGAAAGCAAAGCTAAAAACTCATTTTTTTTTTTTTTTTTTTTTTTTTTTTTTTAATTAAGTTATCAGAGGATTGGAAGACTTGAAAAATGGAAGTTTAGCATGACTGACTTTCTTTATTAACTGACTTAAACTTACCCTTATGTAGAAGTTCTGTGTTACTTGAAGCATATAGGATTTGTAAGTTTATCTTTTATATGTATATTTTCTTTCTAACATTATAATTAGGGAAGAAGATAACTTATTTAAATACATGACAAATGACAATATAAAAATATATTGCACAATATCAAAATATTTATTTATGAAATTGAAATTTCAGTAATAGCATAAAAAATGATCAAAGTATTGTGCATGTCGGCCGTTCGTGTGAATCAAATGAGAATAAACGTGCCCTACGATCAATTTGCGATCTGAGCTTGCTGCAACGCGTAGTCTGTCTAGGGAATCGACGTTGATAATTTAGGAATTGTACCGTCCATGGGATTCCCGAAGAATGTTTCTTTCTGTGATTTGCGGGCGATTATTGTCATTTATCGGAGCTTCACTTGCTATCTCACAGCCTAATACAAACAAGTTTTGAGGGAATAGAGAACGGTGTTTAATTTCTTCGAAGATTTTTAATGGAGAAAGAAAATGAAGATCGTATTTGACGGAAATAACAATAGGGAGAAACAACGGGGCTTACTTCTTTGACCATTTTCTCTTTTATTTGCCATTTTCCTCTTCATTCGAATTTATCGAAAATGAAGACATGTATGTCTCGAAATTCAACTGTGTAGCCACATTCACCATCACCTAATTTTTGTGCAGCACGAAGACCCACATTCCTATTGATATGAAATGTAGATAGAAGATTATATGCATTCAGGAAGACATTGTGCAACGTCTTCATAAGCCCCAACTCTGTATCAATCACAACTACACCATATAAAATGTTTGGAACGAATAGCTTTCTCACATTGGTCAATGACCATGTATAATGCTCTTCATTTTCATGTCGCAAAAATGCCACTGCAATATTAAAAATCAGACCCTCGGAGCAAACACCATAATCTCAAACAAAGTTATTTTGTATTGATTTGTTCTGTACGTACAGTCGAACAGTAGAACATGGAAACAATTTCAACATTTTGACCAATTGAGGTTGAGCCCAGATATGGTCAATAACGTCATGCTTAGTTGGATCACTGCGAATCCACCTATAATAGTTATGTTCCCCAAGGAACACAACCAAATGTTGCAGAACTGTGTGCCCACCCAACCCACTTTCATTTTCGCCTTTTCATTGTATATATACTTGTCTAAAATGCACATTGTCTCTCAAGTTCTGCTCTTAAATGTATTAAAATCTTCTTCGGCGTCACACGACTTTTTGCCGACATTCAAGTAATGTCCACCTCCTCCTGAGTCATTTTACTAGACTCATGCCCCCACAAATATACGAGATCATGATTAGGTTTCCAATATAATATTTTCAGTTATGATATATCCTCGTAGTGTTTAGCGTCCATCAAGTAAAATTTACAATGACATTTTTTCTATGTCATCTTTTATTTTCCAGATCTATGTTCGTTGAAATTACTTGCTTCCCTTTAAATAGATCACAAGTAAGTAAAATATTTTATATTCTTAAAACTACTACGCTTCACCAACTTTACACCAAGACTCTTGGCGGTCGCTCTCGCAAAATTTATCAACTCACCAAAACATGTTTACACGCCCAAATGGGCACGGAAAGACGGAGCGCACGCCCAAATTGGGCGTGGATCAGACTTGTAAGCGCCCGTTTTGGTCGTGCCATCTTTACCAGATTTTACTGAACAAAAAGGAACAAATTTTACATAAGTTTATTGTGTATCTCGATCCTCATCCCATGCACTCATTTTTCTTTGATTATCGCTTCAACAAGATGGGATTCCGGACGATTTCTAGTATAAAAGATGGAGAGGTTTTTTTTCCGAGAGAGATGAAGGAAGAGGAGAGAGTGAATTATTGTGAACGCTATACGTAAAAATGGTACCGCATTTATCGAGTCCCAAAAAATAAATATCCCAATAGCTCTTATAAATATAATTTTTTTAAAGTGTTCTATTAGATTATATTAGAGACAAGTCTATTATATGCTATACTGAGTGAAATACACTGGATAAATCTTTACCATTCATGTACACACAAAAATACACATATCTACATTGATGTGTGTAAATCAATAATAAAAAAGTACCCGATGTAGTCTTCACCAGGTGTAGCATGCATAGAAATAACCATTTGAGGCATTTATGACAAAGAAAATCTCTAACCATATAAGAACCCTAGATTAATGCCATACCCCTTACTCCCATATTATAACTCTTACTCATTAAATTTAATATTTTATTTTCTGAAATTAATTAAAATTGATATATGTTTTAATTATTACCACCAACAATAAATAATCCCACTACTTTGATTTGAGATGGAGATTTTACTCTATATATACATACATATATATCAACTATCTCTACACCTCTGTAGTAAGCTACCCACCAACAAAAGCTTAGCAAAATACAAATGGCTTCCTTGACACTACTACTAGTGCTATCTACTTTCTCACTCCTCCCTCTCTCTCTCTCTCTAGCACATGCACATTCCTTCACAAAAATCTACTCCTTCGGCGACTCCTTCACCGACACCGGAAACACCCACACCTCCACCGGCCCCACCGCCTTCAACTACATCTCCAACCCACCCTACGGCGTCACATTCTTCCACCACCCAACCAACCGCTACTCCGACGGCCGTATCGTCCTCGACTTCCTGGCGGAGTCCCTGTCCCTTCCCTTCCTGCCGCCGTACCGGAACTCCAGCGCCGCCGACCAGACCCACGGCGTCAACTTCGCCGTGGGCGGCGGCTGCGCCATCAGGTACGGCTTCTTCGTGAAGCACAACGTGAGCTTCAACCTCGTACCCCAGTCCCTCCAGACACAGCTCGTCTGGTTCACCAAGATCGCGGCGGCCAAAGGCTGCAAGCTGCAGCTGGATCGCCGCTCGCCGGCAACACCTAGTAAAGAGTGCGCGGCGGTGCTGGGCGACGCGCTGATTTGGATGGGCGAAATCGGGGCCAATGATTACACTTCCAGCCTCGGATCTTCGGTTCCGATCAAAACCATACAAACTCTCGCCGTTAACAGCGTCGTTGGTTTCTTACAGGTATCAATAGTTTTCCATGCATTGCATTAATTAATTACATCAAACAATCCATGCATGCATTATACCTAATTTCATGAAGGTTTACATAATTATACGTTACTATTTTTCAACATAACAGATAATTATAAGGTAAATTACGGTCACTCATGAGGTAAGGTCGAATTACGAAAAAAATCTCTCATATTTAGGTAATTACAACCAGGGCCGGCTCAAGGCCATATGAGGTCTACGCAAAAAAATAAATTTGGGACCCTTTACATTAATTTTTTTTTAATATAAAATTAAATATTTTGGATATTTTTATTTTAGTTTAAATACACGTATTAAGTTCAGTAATTAGTATATTATATTTATAAAAAAACCATGCTATATATAATAATATATTTTTTTATTTAAATAAGAAAATATAAATTTTATTTTGTATTTGAGGGCCGTAATTATAGTAAACATAATTTTTGGGGCCCCAATTATAATACATATAAGTTGGGGGACCTAGGCAAAGGCCTAAGTTGCCTATAGCCTAGGGCCGGCCTGATTACAACTATCCCAGCAATTTATGAATTTTTTTACACGTCTATTTTTATGGTGTCAAATTCAATATAATCTTCTCGATCGAGTCCATGAAATGTTTTCTAGTTTGTACTCGTTTTGTGCTAAAATGCAGTTTCGAATGCCCCACAATCTGATATTTACAAGTCAATATACACATCTTACGATCATCTTGTTTTTAAATATAGAGCTGGAATGCGTGTACAAACTAAAAAATATTCTATATAATCTAGATCATAACACTAAATTTGACACTTCGATGGTGAACATGTAAGAAGATTTATAATTGAAGGTGTGTAATTATCCAAACAAAATGAGTTTTTTTATAATTTGATCGTACCCAATTATTATAAGTTATTAGAGAAAATTATAATATAAAATGACGAATATTAATATTGAAAGAATTTCTAAACTAGTGATGGTGTACGATTTCTAGACTTGGTAATTAAGGGGGTCATGGCCCCGTTGCCATGTGTTGACTCCGTCCACTAAGAAAAACAGCTTCATTAAAAAATAGAAGCAACATCTCATTATTTTATATTTTATAAAATTAATTTTATATTTGCATTTACTATAGTTGGTGTTAACTCGATCTCCCTGCCCACTACCCAATCAGTGGTGCATTTATGTCAAAATATTGACTACACTTAGCTAGCTAGTAGCTACTCTAGTGTATATTAATGTGTATATGTGGTGATTTAAGAGGAAAAAAAAAATTAAGTTTTATGGACTAAAAGTATATAAAATTGAAAGTTTAAGGGCCGATTAACAAATATATATAATCTTCTCCCATGCATGCAAATTAAAAAAAAAAACAGGTATTGTTGAACAATGGCGCAAAGTATATAGTGGTCCAAGGCCTACCGCCAACCGGCTGCGCCACGTACACATTCGCGCTCTCGTCTCCGGAGGATCGAGACGCGGATGGATGTGTGGCGTCCTCCAACCGGATAGCCCTCGGTCACAACGCGGCCCTCAAAGCGAAGCTCGACTCTCTCAGGAAACAGTATCCGGAAGCCGTCATTCTCTACGCCGACTACTACAACGCCCACCTCACCGTGCTCAGGAATCCGCGCAAGTACGGGATCGTCGAGCGGTACAAGGCGTGCTGCGGCTTCGGCGGCGGGGAGTTCAATTTCGACATCTTCAACACGTGCGGCACCGCTTCGTCCGCCGCGTGCGCCAACCCTTCCGAGTACATCAACTGGGACGGGGCCCACTTCACCGAGGCGATGAATAAGGTGCTAGCGAATTCGTTCTTCAACGGGACGTATTGCGACCCGCCGTTCAGTTACTTGCTGAGCAAGAAACTGCGGTCGGGATGATCACTTTTGGTTACGCACCCACATGCATGTGTTATTTTTTTTTTTTTTTTTTTTTATTTTTAACTTTTTTTTTGTTGAATAATGGTAAATTTTATATTGGGTCTATAGCATGTAATAAACTCATAATGAGTTGCCTTTTATGGAATTATTGTTATGTTTTTCTTTGTACTTGGGGATATACGATGGTTTCTTGGGTTTTGTGAAAGAGTTATGGGCTTAGGTTGTCGTATGATGTACCATATGATCTCATTTTTTTTTTTTTTTTTTTTTTTTTTTTTTTTCTATTATTCTTTAAAATCATATAATATTACAATTAATATTTTGATGTATTGAATAATAATTTTAATTTCTGCTTAATGAAATTTTAAAACAATATAGCTATTTAGCGAGGTAACAAAAACCCTATATAATTATAAATGACTAGAATTCCACTCCAATAAACTAAACTCCTGAAGTAATGTAACATGACATTGTAGTAAGCTACCTTAGTCGATTTTTCGTATTTCATTTTTCATGTTCTATTCCGCAAATAAAGTAAGTGATTTTTTTTCCTTGAGGGCAAATGGCAAATAGGCCCATGACAAGGGCACTTAATTAAAAGAGGGACATCCAACTTTTTTGTTTTTCAAATAAATCCAGCAGCTCATTCAAACTTATTTGCAAATAAGGAAAATCCCTTTATATATACCAAAATTACCCCCAATTAATTGAAACCCAATTCAACTCCAATTTCATGATTTACACCCCAATTTAGCCAAATTTCATCAATTAACCAATTTTAACCATAATTTCAATTTTGACCCTAATTTTGACCCGCCACCACCGGAGCCCGCCGGCCGCCGCCGTTGACCGGCGTTGACTTTTTTTTTTTTTTTTATAATTATGTTTTTTCTTAAAAAAATATTTTAATTAATATTACTGTCTTGGCTGCTAAATTACTGTCTCTGGCAGTTAAATTACAGTAATTTAACTGTTAATTGACTTTTTTTTTCTTTAATTTTTTTTTAATTAATATTACTGTTTTCGTTGCTAAATTACTGTCTCCAGCAGTTATTTAACTGTCGGAGACAGTAATTTAACTGTTATTTGACATTTTTATTCTTAAAAAAAATATTTTTAATTAATATTACTGTATTCGTTGCTAAATTACTGTCTCCAGCAGTTATTTAACTGTCGGAGACAGTAATTTAACTGTTAATTGACTTTTTTTTTTCTTAAAAAAATTATTTTAATTAATATTACTACCTTGGGTGCTAAATTACTGTCTCCAATAGTAATTTAACTGTCTTAGACAATAATATAAACAATATTACTGTTCGGGAAAATAATATTCATAATATTACTATCCGAAAAAGTAATATTACTGTCTGAGACAGTAATTTAGTAGCCAAGACAGTAATATTAATTAAAATATTTTTTTCTAACAAAAAAAAAAAAAAAAAAAAAAAGTCAATGCCGGAATCTGACCGGAAAAAAAAACATTTCAGAAAAAAAATTATTTTCTGAAAAAAAAATTTGGGGGTTAATGTGATATATTTGTTTAAATTCGGGGTCAATGTGTAATATTAAGGAAGTTAGAGCATAATGGGTGGAATTGATAAGAATTATATTATGGAGGGTATTTTAGACTAAAGACATGGGGATGGGTTTAATTGAGAGACTGTTTTTTTTGTGGACCAAAATGCATTTAAGTCCCATGTGATGGACCTTTTTGCCATTCGCCCATTTCTTGATTCATTCACATATAAATATAGCACAAAATAACTACAAATTTATAAACTTAAACTAACATAAGCTACACTAAATTACTTGGGTGGGTGGCCTTAACATTTACGGGGGTTCGGCCCCCGATTTTTTCTATAAAATTCATTAACATGAAATAGCATAAAATAACTACAAATTATAAACTTTAACTAATATAACATAAATTTTTTGGTAGATAAGCTAAACTAAATTACTTGAGTTGGGCTAAATTAAACTATTTAGGTGGACTAATTATATATAGATATAATATATAGTATATTTTTTTTTAGAATGAGAGTGGGCTGGAGCCCACCCTTGCCAAAGGGTGGCTCCGCCACTGCAGACCAGTAAATCAGACCAGATAGGTGGTCTTTGATAGAGGTGTGCACGGCTCGGTTTTTGGCTAAAATGGAACATTAACAAATTATATATCGGTTCTACCGATTGGAGCAATTGAGCATGTTTCAATTAACCTAGGTTTGAATGTCCTAGTTAACGGTCGCTAGGTGGAGTTTGTCACACATGGTTAGCCTAGTGTAGTTTAAATCTCTCGTATGGTTTGCAAGCTATTATATAAGAGTGTAGGTCTACAGTGTACCTATATGGTTGGTTGCGGGTTCCTTCATTCCTTCAAACTATCTTTACTATTTGATATACCTAATTTGGCCGACCCAATGGGCCCCCTAATTCGCCTAATAGTTAGGCCCACTACACGAAAGCCCAAACACCTTCAAAATAAGGCTTGGGCCCAACAAAGTAAGCCCAACCCACTCAACGACATATCAATAGATGTTTTACTCATTTGTTAAGGTATGTTTTGATTATTCACAATCAAGTTAGAGTATTATTCTCTCTACCATATCCACCATCCGTATATCTGATTTGAGCGTCGGAGGGGTTTCCGCCGGATCAACCCCCGGCTTAGTTCACGTGTGCTCATTTCGCAGGGACCTCAGGATCATTAAGTTGACAAGCTACTGATCCGCTTTGCTCTCCCAGCTCGTTTTCTACACTACCCCAGGTGATCTACATTTTAGCATCATCATTTTGGTGCCGTCTGTGGGAACGATGCAAACCAGATCACGTAGCCAACAAGATCCTCCTGAGGCGTCTGCTCGGAGAGAAAATGACACAGCTAATAACCTCCCAGTCCGTGGAGGATCTGGCTTGCCACCTCCTCCACGTGCCGCGGAGCCACCTCCTCGCCACGTGCCACGGATCCACCTCGCGAGGTTCAGGTGATCCCTCATCGGGACCCACCACTCGCCGATCCACCACTCCCTGCTCCTCGAACGGTTCAAATAACCGAGGACGCGCTCCAACGCATGATAGCAGAAGCCTCAACTCGCGCCGCCACGGAGGCCGTAACTCAATATATCGCCACGATGGGAGCAAACGCTCCCAATGCGATACCAGCGCCAGCTCCACCTATAGTGCCACCTGTGGCCCCACAGCCAATCCAGAATCAAATAAGTGTCTCCTCCTCCACCTCGGACCCACGGTCCCGAGTGCAGCTATCCACAAATCACATGGGGGCACAGCCCAGACAACAACGTCAACGCTCACCCCCACGGGGGAATGCGTCTCCACAGAGAGTCCCTCTCTTTAATGAAGGAGAAGGCGAGGTAAACAGCAGAATGTCCCGCCATTTACTAAACAATCCAATTGGCGAAAGAATGCCCGTCCCAATAAGACGTAGTCCTTTCACCATAGACATCCTCAACGAGGTATTACCTCAAGGAGTGAAGATCTCGGGGTTATCTCAATTTGAAGGGACCACCGACCCACATGAGCATATAGAGAAATTCAACGCCATGGCGGACTTATATGGCCCAACGGATGCTGCGATGTGCAAAATGTTTCGCACCACTCTCTCCAAGAGAGCAATGAATTGGTTCAACTCTCTACCCATAGGATCGATTGACACATTCGCTCGGCTGTCAACACGGTTTCCCAACCAATTCGCCATCAACAAGCAGTATGCCAAGACCCCAGCCCACATTTTCTCTGTAGTATAGAGAGATAACGAAACGCTCCGCAACTACATCAAGCGTTTTGCAGAAGCAGTTCATGAAGTTCCCAGTGTAGGGCAAGACATGCTCTCCGGGATTATGCAACAGAACTTGAAGCCGGGTAGATTCAAAGAATCTATCGCCGGAAGGCCCCCAGGCAACCTAGAGGAGTTGCTGAATCGAGCCGAAAAATACGTCCGGATAGAGGAAGCCTCTACCCATGCTCCTCCTAAAAGGAAAAGGGAAGATGACCGTCAGGACAATAGGAGGCGGGATGATCGACGTCCACCACTTCCACCTCAAGGTCAACCATCTTCCTCCTATAATAGGTTCACTCCGCTAAACACTCGGCTCACTGAAATCCTTCACGTGATAGAACAAAAAGGTTTAGCAGAGCCTCCACGTCCTATGCAGCCAAATGCGAAGCGAGAAAAGTCGGGTCGCTACTGTCTATTCCATAATGATAGAGGACATACTACTGAGGAATGTGCACAACTCAAAGTGGCGATTGAGAGGCTGATCAAGCAAGGCCACTTAGGCGAATACATTGATAAGCCTCGAAATAAGCGCCGTGATGACCTTCCACGCCGAGATAACAATCGAGATCAACAGCAAGGACGAGAGGAGGGGGGTCATCGACGCGACCCAGATAACAATGATAACCAACCTACCCGGGGAATCATCTCCTTTATCTCCGGAGGACCGGCAGGTGGCGACTCACAAAACGCGAGACGCACTCTCGCTCGATCAGCACGTATGAATCAAGAACGTGCTTCTCCATCCGCATGTATCTATCAAATACGAAGACCTGATCATAGCATAGTCTTCAACTCCTCAGACCTTGAAGGCCCAGAAGAAAATCATGTCGACGCGTTGGTAATAACAACAACGGTGGCCAACTTCTTGGTTAAGAAGATATTAGTGGACGGTGGGAGCTCAGCCGACATCATGTACCTCCACGCTTTTAAGCAACTGGACATAGATAATGCCCGGTTTAGCCCCATCTCCACGCCCCTAAAAGGATTCACGGGAGAGGGCATTTTGTCCATGGGAGAAGTCGAGCTGCCCGTCTCTTTAGGGGAAAACCCTTGTCGAATCACCAAGCTAATCAAATTCCTCATCGTCGACAAGCCATCCCCCTACAACATCATCCTAGGGAGGCCAGCAATCCATACATTCAAGTCAGTACCTTCCTCCTACCATCAGAAGTGGAAATTCCCTACTCCCTATGGAATGGGGGAAGTACTTGTAGATAGACGTCTGGCCCGAGAGTGCTATGCAAGGGCCCTACGAGAACCTTCCAAGAAACCTAAACCGTCCGGAAGGGGAGATGACACTCAAAAATCCGACAAACGGAAGTGGGTCAACGCGATCATTGAGGATGATAAAGAAATCCTTATCAGTGTACCAGACGACAGCATCAAGCTAGCAGCCGTCGAAGAGCTTAAGCTCATAGAGCTCACACCTGGAGATAAAT